AAGTCAAACACTTTAAAATAAAGTTCAACTATATTAAATTATATTATTTAAGCTAAATTAATAAAATAAAATATATTAATATAAACAAAATTAATAGAAATGAATTATATATTTATATATTTATATGAAAGGATCCACCCACAGCCTTAACTACTGAAGCTTTGAGGGTGTATTGTGCGCATCGCCTAGGCATCCCATAACAAGGATTTTCCGGTGAGTGGAAACGATTATTCGGGTTTGCTTAATATGTCGTGGCTCTCTTTCAAGGTTAATATATGGAGAACTTTTTATGGAAGTGGATTTGGTACTGCATATTCGTACTAATGGTTCGCTATGCCTAACATCTGTAACACATAAAGCTTTGGCTATGTCAATATGTGGAGAAATTTTATTTATTTATTATTTACCTTAAAGAATTATTTTGAAACTTGAGATGTACAAAGCTTCTCTAACATAGGGAAAAATTTTCACTCCATTTTTTTTTTCTTATAATAAAGTAAATAACGTAAAAACCTAACAAAAATCTTATTAGAACCAACTTAAAGTTCCATGCGCACGAAGTCGGAGGCAAGCTCTAGTAAAAAATAATATGAAGTAAAGAGTTGGACGGATTAATACTGACCTCAGAACGCTATACTCATTTCAAAATATTGCCATATCGTCTGGGAGTTTCCGCAAAACTAATTTGAATGTAGAAAAAAGCAAAAACTTGTTATTTTGTTGCAGCTATTTGAAACCGTACAACAAGAAAGTAATTTGGGAAAAATAGCTGCGAGCTATGTCAACGCCCATCTCTTTACAGCAGGCAGCCATTATTGAATACCTGCATAATTGTGAGCTAAAGTTAAATTTGGGCGGCAATTCACTACACCACCAGCGATTTCAGTTCCTCATTGAATGACCAAAAGTGGCTGAATGAATGCGTGAAAGTGCGTGCGCGCATGTGTATGTGTTTGTGAGTGACCCGAGGTTGGTGAAGTTGGTGCTGATGTGTTTTGCTGATTGCATTATGATTTAGTAAGAGTTATGATTCAATTTACGACAATTGCCCAGAACCAAGTTTGATTGAATTTCTAGCTGCAATTCGCAAAAGCGCGTGCAATTCTGCTGCTGGCGCTGTGCGACTGCTTTGCGTATTGAAGTGACATAAATGGTTGGGTTGTGGGCGTGCATCGACCGCAAATGTTACAAAAACTGTATGTTAACTAGCGCCTGCGGCGAACTGAGAAGTGTTTTCATTCGTCAGATTTTCATTATACAAAAGAAATGATATTTTTTCTCAAATAATTTTTGTTTTACAAATACTTTACGCAAAGGTTATTTTTTAATAAACTCAATTTCACGCTCAAATTCATTGTCAGCTGCCAAAATGTGGAATCAAAACAAATTCCCTTTTAACATTTGTGTGCACAAAACGTTTTGTAACTAAAATATTTCAGCTTGTGTGTTCTTAATAATGAAGAATGTTGTATGTTTCCCTCCGTTTTGGCACGAAGCATTGGCATTGACTAAATTGTTTTGTGTCTCACGACATATTTACCCTACTGTAATAACTTAAAAAATCATTGAAGCAGACAATCGGCTTTCACACATTTGCCAACGCCGACTGCGGTTTCTTTCTTGTTGGATAAAATGGCAGAGATCAAGAAGACACACTTACATATTGAGATATCATGTTGTGATATTAAAATATAGAGGAGCAATGACCCTGTTGGCAAAATATATTAAAACAATTAATATATCGCGTGATCCAAGTAGCGGCACTTTTTTCAATAACCATTTTTGACCGATCACGCGTGAGTTGAGGATGGCATTCCATCATGGAAAAACTTACGCCTGAACAACGCTTACAAATCGTTCAACTTTATTACGAAATATTCACTTTCTTTAAAGAATGCGTTTCGTGAACCTCGTTCAACTTATGATCACAATAATCAGCCTACCGAGCAAACTGTTCGCAACAGCTTCACCCATCTTGAGACCCATCATTCCTTATTGCATAATGTTTGACTGAATAGACCACATTCAGCACGCAGTGAAGAAATTATAGCGACCGTTGCTGAGAATGTACTCGAAGATCGCGCTCGCACTGACGCATGGAACGACTTAAATTGAAAGCGTATAAAATACAGCTTGTGCAAGAACTGAAGCCGCACGATCTACCAAAGCGATATCGCATCGCCCTATGGGCTCTTGAAAAATTCAAAGAAGATTCAACGTTTTGGAGCCAAATTTTGGTTAGCGATAAGGTCAATTTCTGGCTCAATAGGTATGCTAACACGCAAAATAGGCGAATTTTGGACGAAGAACAACCTGCAGGGATTGAGCAGCTGTCAGTGGAATCAATGGACCATATTTTTTCAAAAATGATGCCGGTGAGAACATAACCGTCAATGATGACTATTATCGCTCCACTATAACCGACTATGTGATGCGCCACTCCCCATAAATCTAATAAATCAATAGAAATGGAATCCAGATAGCCCATCGGCATATCGTCCTCTGCTAAATCAGGAGACTGGAAGCAGCTATTGCTAGTGGTGGAGGCAAAAAGCAATATGGTTTCATGCCCGGTCGATCAACCCTGTGAGCAATCGAGAATGTAGTTAAAAGTGTTGAAAAGGCTCAACAAGCGTGTCACAAGCAAATAGTCCTTCTAACCACATTGGACGTTCGAAATGTCTTCAACAGAGCACAGTGGAAGGATATGATCGAAGCCTTAGAGAATAAATACTCCATCCCCCGGTATCTTAGCCTAATGATAAGGAGCTACTCTACTAAACCACCGGCGGGCAGCGAAAACCCAAGGTGACGGCAGGAGCAGCACAGGGCTCTATCCTCGGGCCAGATCTCTGGAGTGCCAGCTACGATGGCATATTAGACCTTAAGATGCCTTCACATTTATCGTGGGATATGCTGATGACAGTACCGCTATAATCACCGCGTGCGACATGGAAGACTCACGCAGGAAGTTAAATCAAGTAATGATAGGACCAAAAATGTGGCTTGACCAGCTCAGTCTCAAACTCGCAACAGAAAAAACCGAGTTGCTGCTATTAACGAGGAAGCACATACCTCTGGAAATAGATATGCACACCAGCGCGGATACACTGAGGTCAAGAAGAGTTGTTAACTATCTGAGTGTAAGACTAGAACTACTGGGCACAATACCAGCATGCCGCAGTCAAAGCCTCCAAAGTCACTTCTCAGCTTAGTAGACTAATGGCTAACATAGGAGTTCCAACTCAAGAAAAAAGGAAGCTTATCACGGCGGCAACCCTTAACATCTTACTATATGGAGCCGAGCTATGGGCGGGCTCACTTAAGAAGAAAAATAGGCGAATGGTGCTGGGCAAAGATTATCGCACGGCGGCTTTGAGGGTAGCGTCGGCATACCGTACAGTATCAGGGGAAGCTATAGCAGTAATAAGCGAAGTGTTACCATCGATTTATTGGCAGCTGAAAAGAAAAGAAACTGGAAGCTGAAAAAAATTAAGAACCAAGGACGCACCGTCAATACAAACAGAGGGGACATAAGGAAAGAAACCCCGATCCAGTGGCAAGCGCAATTGGAAAAGGGAGTCACGGCCGATGGACGGCCAGATTAATAGCAGAAGTCAGAATATGGACAACTAGGAAATTCGGGGAAGAAGACTACTACTCTGGTCACGGATATTTCATAAAATACCTCCATTAAATAGGGAAAATTTAAGATCCATCATGTATCTATAACGATGCTAACGAAGATGACGCCGAGCAAATAATATTTCAATCCACTCGCTGGCAAGACGCGAGAATCAGACTTGAAAACACAGTTGGCCTTGGAGCAAAATATTACGAGTATCATTTGCCAATTACCAGAAGAAATACTTGAACTTGTCATCGAAAATTGGACTCAACGGATGGACCATCTGAGGCGTAGCAACGGCCAACATTTGAAAGAGATAATCTTAAAACAACAAATGGCAAAGCATTTTCTTTCGAATGATAATAAGCATTTCACATAAATTTTGAATTTTCTGTTTATGTCTTTAAAAAATTAGAAACCTCAAAACGGATCACCTCTTATTTTATATGCCGTATTATATTTGAGTTATGTTTAGTTTTATATAATTTTTCATTGTTCTATTTAAATTTTAACATAATTTACCAATTTAATTATTATTTGATTTATTTAAATTCATTTATATTTTGATTATACGCCAATTACACGCTTTGTAACCGCTGAAGCGATTTTCGGCCGAGCTCCTCCTCCAATTTGTGGTTTTTACCTCTTGATGACTTTCCAACAAATGGAGGCACCTACAGTCGGAGGCGGCTTAGTAGCCTCCGAACGGCTGATTGTTTTTTTACGCGGAACCCTTATTTCATGTCCGAAATACACTCGGAGGGGGGAAACTTAACTTAATTTTTTTATTTAAATTAATTTTCTATAACTTTTGGACGTTCGTCGAACGGGTACTTGAACCCAAGCCTAATTAATTTTAATATTTATTTTTTTTTTTTCATTTCAGTTCTAATTTGAATTTCAATTTGAGTTTAAATTTTGATTTTAATATTTTTAGTTTTGATTTTAGTTTTCATTTAAATTTTTTCCTTACTTCAATATATATAACGTAATTTTTCCAACAGGGTCCTTTTCTTCCTGCATTCGTTAATGACCGTAATGTTATAACCGTTTTGTTATGTACAACAATAAATAGCTGTTAATCAGAGCCTGTTATTGCCGAGTGGGGCAAAGAGTGAAGATATCAGCTGAACCAGCAAGAGTGGAATGTGCACAATAAGTGTAATCAGTTACAGGACTGGTTTAAGAAGTATTCAATGAGAGTGAGATTTTTGTACGAGCAGAAATTTTATTTGTACGATTATTGATACAAAGGCTTGCGTAGACTTCGCGTAGGATCTTGGAGATGTGGGACAGACGCAAGTTGTACTTCAAATAATTTTTTTACTTTCTCACCCTAGTATTGAGTCTTCAATTTACAAAATATATTAGACACATTAATTCAATTTTATCCATTTGATTACAATTCCTAATCTCTTTCTAACTAATTTTCTCATTTTCTGCGATTTCACTTTCACTAAAACAGGAAATCAAAAGCAACCCGTTAATTACAAACGAAATGAAGTTTGACAGATGTCCTTAGTAAAGATCGTGACCCGCAAATGTTGCTGCGAAAAGTTCGAGCGCCCGGCGGCTGCCAGCGTGTGGTCCAGTAATACCCGAGATGACAAAGATTTTGCCAATGTAACTCATGTCGGATAAAATCTGTTTGTTCGGAGCTCCTGTGGCGCCGCCGTAAGTACACTATAACTGTTGGCTAATAGAATTGTGTAGCTGCTGCCGGAGGCCAAGATCCCAGTGCTGTGGTGTTGCAGTTGAACTAACAAATTTATGGATTATTATTTGTAAACTATTTAATGATGACGTTGTTGTTACTGCTCGTAGGGTGTGTACTTGCACATGTTCCATGCCAATATTGGTGGTGGTGGTGGTGCTTTCAACTTCATCGGATAAGTGAGTGCAATTGGCTGGAACAAAAAATGTGTTGATTTATTTTCATAATGTGATTATTTAGTTAGGAAATTGCTGATAAGCGAAATTCATACATGTTTGTATATAAGGATTATATATGTTTAGGATTATCTTACATTTTTTGTGACAATTCAAGTGAGATTTTACCAGGATATTTCGCCTGATGCTTACGGCAGTACGGTGACGTGCTCTTCCTACCTACGTCGCTGCAGCTAGGAGAATCCAATTTGTTTTATGGTGAAGTCCGATTAAACTGTACCTTAAAGGAGTATATGTCTTAGACTTTTAGCCAGATTTGCCTGGTTACAATACATTTGGCTTTCTACTATTGGCTTCCAGAAGATTTTGCTGCGGGAAGAGGGGTAGAGTTCGTATTAGTTAAGATGGTTCGTCCTCTAGGTAGCTCCGTCGCTAGTCACCCAAACCACGGATGGGATGGCTTTCTTGTAGAGTCTGTTCTAAGTGCTGCTACCCATATTCAGTCTGAAGCCTTTTTAAAGATGGAAATGACTTTATGATCTAGGACTTGCTTCTCTTGCAGATTCTTATTAAAACATAAGTTGAAGATAGAGTAATCAACCTCGCCAGAAATTTTCATGAAAGGAAATATTTATGTGTAATTTAATTTTCGGAAATTCTACCAACGGCTTAACCATTTGTCCTACTGTGGTCTGGTTAGAGATACGTATTGCGCACTGAAATTTAGAAGGGAACATTTCTCCAAACTTCTTACAGCAATGACTTCCCCAATTCCCCCCCCCCCCCCTGGAGGAAACAACCTGGTACCACCAATCAACGGCAAAGACGAAGTCCAACACCTAATTACGCGACTGAAAAATAATAATGCAGACATAGCTGACTTGCTGCCTGTGAAGTTTTTTCAGGGCTGGCAGCGCCGAGTGGATGATGCATGCATCAGCTCCGATGATTGGAGTCTCAGTGTCCTTTGTTCTGTGTTGAAATTGACTTCGAAAATATGCAAAAAGCTACCGGAGAATACACTATAGGTTCTCCGATTTTCGTTCATTTTATGTAAAATTTACAAAAAACAGATCGACGCTCGTTATCTCTTCGCCGATTGCAATTCGATTCGATAAGACATCGACTGTACATCGTAAAGCCTGAGTTGGTTAGTTAGGGTTGAGGCTCTCCAATGAATCCTTGTTGTAGAAACTCAAAGCGACTATCGCCAAACCCATCATCAGTGGCGGATTTGCGGATTTACCCCCCGTAGGCTTTTAATTTTAATTAATTTGCCGCCCCTATTACCTCTGAAATAGCTTAGTTAAGATCAGGATTGCCGTGTCGTGGGGGAGAGCAAACAGAGTGCCTGCCTCACAACCCTGCGATCGACAACAACACGTGCGGGGTGGGATAGATATCGAGAGCAGAAGAGGGAAGCAAGACGCATTTGCAACCAAAAAAAAGAAAGAGGCCGAAATGCGTGAGCACGAAGAGCTTGAGAAGCTGACTTACGGAAGATTTCAATAACGGAACTCTTGTAGGACCCAGAGGGGTGATCTAGTGACGGATTCCTAGAGTATACTGAATTTATGGAGGGAACACTTCTCCAGCCTGCTGAACGGCAATGAAAATGAAACACCCGGAGATGGTAAACCCGAAACCCCGAAACCCCGAACCCGATTGAATAAGATGAAACAAACGTTCCGCTACTTGACCATGTCGAACTTTGAGTAGCGATTGTCCGCTTGAAAATAAAAAAGCGAATGGGGCTGACGGCCTACAGGCGGAGCTATTCAAACATGGCGGTGAAGAGCTGACAAGTGACATGCAACAGCTAGTTAGCAAAATATGGTCTGATGAAAGCATGAACGGAACCTAAGTGTACTCTGCATAATCCACATAAATGGCGATCCTACAATCTGCCCCAACTACCGTTAACAAACTGATTGGACCTTATCAGTGTGGCTTTAAACCTGGTATGTCAACCATTGACCAGATATTCACCACGCGACAAGTCTTGGAAAACACCCATGAAAAATCGATCGGCACCCACCACCTCTTCGTCGATTTTAAAGCAGCCTTCTACAGCGCTGCCTATATGCCGCTATGTCTGAGTTTAAAATCCCCAGATACCAGAACGCGGTCAGAATTGGGAACGACCCCTCCGTGCCGTTCGATACCAAAAGAAGTTTCAGACAGGGTGACTATATGTCGTGTGATTTCTTCAATTTGATGCTGGAGAAAATAATACCAGCTGCAGAGCTGAATAGAAAAGTACAATCTTCTATAAGAGTGTACAGCTGCTGGCGTACGCGCCGTTAATTCTGCTTTCTCCAGGCTTGATAAAGAAGCGAAGCGAATGAGTCTGGTAGTGAACGAGGACAAGACGAAATATCTCCTGTCATCACACAAACAGTCATTGCATTCGCGACTTGGCTCTCACGTCACTGTTGACAGTCATAACTTTGAAGTCGTAGATAATTGCGTCTATCTTGGAAGCTGTACTAACACCAACAACAATTTTAGCCTGGAAATCCAAAGCAGAATCACCCTTGCCAACAGGTGCTCCTTGGGCTGAATATGCAATTGAAAAGTAAAATCCTCTCCCGACGAACGAAAACCAAACTCTACAAGTCGCCTATCCTACCTATCCTACTATATTGCGCAGAAGCATGGACGATAACAACATCTAATGAGTCGGCGTTAGGAGTTTTAGAGAGGAAGATTTCGCGTAAGATTTATGGTCTATTTCTAAATCATTAGGATAGGTTTCATCCAAGAAACTAGCCTTTTCTGTCAGACTTGACGATGACAATTCATTCATTTTAGTAAAAAATTAAAACCATTAAAAAAACATCTGTCTATGCAGCTATTCGAATATCTTCATCGGGAGTTTCATCAAATCTTTTTTTCCTTTTGGTTGTCATTTTCCCATCTCTATTGTACTCGTATATTTTTTTGATACACTTAAGGGGACCCTCCATGGATAAAGAAATCGATTTTTTTACGCAAAAAATTAAAACGATATATTTTTAGAGAACGTGCTTAAAGGGATTTTGCAATACGATGAATATTTTTCTAATGGCAGCTTCCCGAACCTTGACCCTAAGATTAGCATTAATAATTCATTGTTTAAATTTTTTTTAACGTAATTGAAATGCAAAATGTAGCAAAAAAATGTAACTTTATATTTACAATGAGCATTTATCCTTAAAATTATTTCAATTGAGGTTCAGATCATGGAAAATTGCATGATCTTCATGAAGTGATAACGATTTTGGGCTTCAGTCTACTAGAAGAGATTGCCATGGACCACGTTTTTCGCGCAGAGGCTGACGGAAAGCACCATTTTTAATTTCGACTATTTTTTTCCGTTCTAAAATCTGAAATAATAAACTAATTTAGTAGTCAAAACCGGAAGTTCGTACACTTTTTCATTCTCCCACAAAATAAATACAAACTCTGCCTGATCTTTGCCCAATATCAAGGGAGGGTCCCTTTAATTCCATTGCAAAGATCAGCAACATGATAAAATCTATGTAAGAAGTCAGAATTTTAACATTCTCGAGAAAAACATCCCACACAAAAACCATTACTGCCGTTTCTAGCTTTTGCAAATTCGAAAATATCCCTGCCGCTTCTTGTCGTATCACAGGCTTTTTGGTACAATCAACCTTGATTAATTCCAAATTTCATACCAAAATTCTTTCAAACTCTTGTATGAATCCTCTCTAGCTGACCAGCGCGCCAATTTTACTCTTTTTTCGGTTTTGCTTTTCCGATTTGATTCATCAATTTCTGCTAGCGTCGAGCCATGGTCCTCAATTTCTATGCCCAATGTTTTAGTTTGTCAGCTTTATATTCCACTGAAGGCAAAAATTTGAGAAATCTTTCACATAGTTCCCCAGAATCCCAAACATACCTAATAACGAGCGTGAGTTGATCTATGTGGGCTATATGTGCTGTTGGCGCGTTCCTTTTTTTATTTCGTCTCCAATCTTCTTTAAAACTTTCTGATCCATCAGGACAATCAATTCATCGCAAGTGGTCTTTGCTTAGCAACTTGCATCTGATCCTTGATTTCCAACCCGTTCAATATGATGGAATAATTTCCATTATGTGGTCCTGCAAATTTAGCATTTTTTCCTCAAAAAGCGAGACCTCTTGAACACAAACGATTCACGACAGCAACAACTCTCATAAGAACGTTCCTCCAGTAAGTTTTCTTCATCAATCTGGAACTGCAATGAATTATCAAGACGATCATCAATCTTATTTCTAACTTTCAAACTAAATTTATGAAGTGCAGAGTTTTCATGCTGAGCTTCGAGTAGCTGATCTGCATTTTTCCAGTCATTGAACCCTTCGTTCTACACTCCAATTGGTCCACAATATACAGATCTTTCACTTTCCGAATGAACACTTGCCAATTTCGGTCTTTAACTCCATTATTTTTCATATTTCTTTGGAAGTTACTAGCTGGTTGACCGGCATATATTTTTTCACTTTTAGAGAAGTCCCAAAGATTTGTTTTGACCAAAGCCTCAAGTTATCGTCAATTATCCATAGTGCGGTATCTTTATTTAATTTATCGACGTTTCATTCTGAGTCGGATCTGCGATTGTTGGACTTCAGATGATTCCTCTTCTGTCACCCTGTCACAAACAGCCGAGTATTGGTCCATCTGCTTCAGATTGTCTTGTATTTGTTAAAAAAATCGAAATAAAAAATTGTAGACCGAAATTTCCCGTCCCTTAAAATTGTTCGCCATTGGCTACAGCCTACTTAGCCTGCTCATAAAACCGCTGCTGCCGATCATTCTCTATTTCTGAAGTAGCGAGTTCACAATGGGGTTACTAGGTTCTTAAAGCTAGACTGCATAAGTTTCAGGTTTATTTATGTTTTTGAAAGACACCTACTATTCTCTGGGGAAAGCTCTTTAATGCATATTATATATATAATTGGCGCTTTGTAACCACTCAAACCACTTTAGGCCGAGCTCCTCTTCCAATTTGTGGTTTTGGGCCTTGAT